ACTCCAGGTGTGCGAACGTCCCAACCCATCACATGTCCTCAATGGCGGAATTTAATTGGACAAATCGCCGCCCCTTGGACCTGTCAGGCGATGTCTATTCTGTTGTGGCTGGGTCGGTTCAGGACCAGATGGTCAGGCACGATATCAACACTTGGAACAGCAAAAACGCACCGGGGCTTGAAACGAAGAGCGCCAGCACGAAGGCTTGCACTTGTTTTGAGGCCTGCAGGAGGATATCTCCTGCTTGCAGACGACTGTGCAAAGGTGGATCCAATGAACGCCATCACTGCGTCATTATCAAATTCAGTCCCGTAATGGACTTGATGTAAAGGGATTGGACTGTGGACTTTTTGACGGTTTTATGCAAGCTACAGTACGGGGAACATAGATGTTCAGTGTTTGATGGTGTCGCATCGACTGAACAGGTGCAAGGGCAGTGTTTCCGATGGCGTCAGCGGCGACAGATTTTATCAAACACCCGGCGGGACCTCGGTGGCACTCGAGAGCAGAAGTTGGGCCTGACTGCAGTTCCTGTGCCTCGACCCCCTTTGAAGGGGCGCGAAGGGCCGCAAGCCAAGGGCCAGGCGGCAGCGAGGGCAGCAACCCGCTCCCGCAGTTGCAAACATCCTTTGGCTGGGGTACAGCCGGTCAGTCTCGGCGCTTCTCTGATCAGAGGCAGGCAGGTCTGAGGCGACTGAGCGCGGCGTTTGAACGACAATGGGGAGACTGCAAGACGGCGACAGACTCCCTTGCGAGCCCGCCACTGCGGGATGATGTTGTTGCTACTTTTCTGGTTGAACGAATGACGAGAAACATCGGTCACCCAATCGAGTGCCCAGCCTCAAAGACACCGGTCACCCAGTTTGTGAGCCGCCGCGAAACCGCGCGGCGTTCATCGCAACCGTCGCAGTGCATCAAAGGTTCTGTTTTCGCTTTCTAGCATCGCCTGGCGGCCGTCTATGTCATCCCACACGAAAGAAAACCCGGGCGCAAGCGGGGGCCTGCGGATCGAACAACCAAGGAGGCATCGTGGTTTTGAGGCAGCCCAGAAGACCTCGGGCACTACAACCCCAACGACCGCGCCTTCTCCACAGCGAACCGCCTGTCGCGCGGCGAGACGTCGCGATGGAACAAATTGAGTTTCAACAAGAAGAAGAAAGGAGATGATGCAATGCATTTTGAGGACGGGCGGGCGACCCCGCGGCTAAAGCAACACGGGGCGCCTTTTCGCGGGGCGCCCATGGCGGAGCCCACCCCGCCCTCGCCACGCGGCGCACAGCGCAAACGACCGCGATCGGCGCAAACGAGAATCTTGTTGAGTCGACAGCGCGGTTTTGTGGCCCCGGCTGTGTCGGCCCGCGGCCTTCAACCTGATCGTGCGTGCAAAACCAAGCCTCAAAAAATCAAAGGCCGCCTGCCAAGCGGAAGGAGATTCCCATCCGAGCTTGCCATCTACCCCGTGCAAGCTTTTGCGCATGCTCGCCCCGTCCCCCCTACCCCCCACCCCACCCCACGCTTTACCGGCGGCTCCCTCGTGTGCTTCAGCACGTATCCGTACAGCTCCTCCGTCATCCTCAGCTGCGCCGTCCTGAAGAACCCCGCCATCCTCAAAAGCCGCATCATCTTGCAAAAATCCGCGCCGCTGCGCCAAAACCAAGCGATCAACAAGGCCAGGCGCAGGATTTCTGCTGCAGGAAGTCACTGCGACCCCTTGGGCACCCCTGGGTTTTGTCGGCGGTAGACTGACCGCCGATTGGCGTTCGCGAAGAAAGGCACAGCGAGGTTGTCCGCGGGTGGGGGGGCGGGGCGGCCCCCCTTCTTGTGGGGCCGCTCTTGGCCGCGTCCACAACGTGAGCGCGTAGCTGTCAAGTGCGCGGCGCCTGCGTTGGTCCCACGTACAGTCGCCCCAACCACCCGAGCCATCATGACGCATCAAGACAAGTGCAACATAAGCGGAGCGCGTTCGGACGGCAACGAGGTCCCCAGGGGGACGGGGTGCCCGGAGTGGCTTCCGCGCGTCGCGTAATGGCCTGTTGTTTGATGCGACATCGGCAAGATCGCCGTGGATTCCGCCCTGGAGTTCACGGGGAGCTGACGACGCTCCAGGCGCACTTCTTCGTATTATGCAACTTGCGGGCGACCGGGCGTGTGCAGTGCGCGCGCGCAGCGAGGCTGCCAAGTGCGCCACCGCGGCAGGCTCGTTTCGGCCCACCCTTATGCAATGGTTGGACGACACAACGGCGCCCCTTGGCCCCCGGCGTTCTTGTCACCTTGCGTGGCAGAACCTGCTGATGCAGGCAATCAGGGACGCCGATGATACGACAAGAGCGGGATGTGAAGGCCGTGAAGGGGTCATGAAGGGTACTAGGGACCTAAAACCCTAAAATCTACACGCCCTAAACCCAAAACTGGCCTTCATGACCTTCATGACTTCATGTCCAGAAATGAGGGGTATCGGACATTTGTGCGCTGGCCCTGGGTGCGCCAACATGTAGAAACAGTCGCATGGGGCGACAGATCGCGAGAGCCGGCCTGTTTTGGTGTGGACGGTGCAGATGTCGGAATAGGGGATCGATCTGGGTATCTCCAAATGGGATGTCCCATTGCCCAACCCATTGGTACTAAAGGGTACTCGCCTACTAGTAGGTTGCCCTACCAATAGGTGGGTAGTTTGCAAACCACCTGGCGAGGCACGGAATAGCGTCGTCTGATCCTTTTGGCACCATTCGACCCGACGCGACCCATACAGATCCAACGGTTGTCGCAGGTGGCAATACGCCTCAAGGCCGTACCAACCCGCTAATAGCGTCACATGCCTTGACTGCACGCTGAAGTTTGACAAGCACTCTGCTGATTTCGTGAAACAGTTTGGGAAGCAAACGATCGAACTTTTTGTAGACTTCGGATGGTATGTTGTCCTGTTGGAAGAACAACAGCTTTTATCAACCAAACCAAGGTTTTCTTACGTGTTGTGCTAGGATGGCGCTTTGTCAGTCAATGTGAGCGGACGGAAACGGGGTGGGGTGTGTGGGTGGGGTGTGCGGGTGGGGTGGGGTGGGGTGGGGTGGGGAGGGTGGAGGATGATGAAACAGTTGGGGAAGCAAACGATCGACTTTTTTGTAGACTTGGGATGGTATGTTATCCTGTTGGAAGAACAACAGCTTTTATCAACCAAACCAAGGTCTTCTTACGTGTTGTGTTATGATGGCGCTTTGTGGTCAATGTGAGCGGACGGAAACGGGGTGGGGTGTGTGTGTGGGATGGGGTGGGGTGGGTGGAGGATGATGAAAAGAAACTGCACAATATCCGCACAGAGCTGATGATAGGGCATTCGGACAGAGAACGCGGCGTTTGGACTAACGGCAGTCGCATATTGGGGCCTCGAACTGTGGCCGGAGCCAAGCATGCGGCAAAGGAGTTTCGATACTGAAGGTATCGCGGAAAAGTGTTTGAAAGCATTTCCTGCACGGCACCCACACGCTTTTGCATTTTTTCCATTTTCAGCGGGCTGAAGAATCATTTGATAGCTTTGGTCAAAAATGGCAAGTCACTGCGTTACGCCCATGAGGGATTTTCCACGCAAAGATTTTGCAAACTAGGCTACCCATAGTCCTAGATGCCCAAACTATATCACATCAGCCAACAGTTCAGTTTCAGCTCCTGCCAGTTTGCCGCAGCGCTAGTATCATATCAATTGGGCAATTACCGAAAATGGTGAAGCGATGTCTCCTCTGATCATACCACAATAATCGAAGTCAGCTGTGGGGCAAGTGACCAGTTGTCCCTCAAATTCCAGCCGGTCAACTATCATTTGTTGTCATGCTCTCATGAACAGGAAAAGACAGCAGCTTGAAACCGATCGCCCACCTCCATTTACACCACAAGCTATGCGTACAGTCACCTGAGGCCCTAAGGCCTAGAGGAGCGGTGAGTGGATTATATTTCAAGCCGAGGCATTGCTTCCAGCACAATTTAATCAGCCTGGAGCGATCCGGGAACCGCTGTCAGCACGTCCTGCGCCCTTGCCACCGCGATGTATGGTGACATTTGGATACGACTAAACGTGAGTGTTGGATCGTTGGGCAGCGGCAGGCGCTCTTTGCTTTGCTTTGTGATGAAAGCCGAAGCGGGTGGCGAAGACGACCCTGGCCTCTCACTCTGAACGCACGGTTAGTGTATTGATTCCTTGGGAGTTTGGCTCATTTTCCTGTACAGTTGAACGACTTCGCAGGCGCCTAAACATAGATCGTTATGGCGAAAGGTCCACGGCTTGTGCAACTGGCATTTGAAGTTTTTGCTTGCATGCCAGCAAAGGCACATTGAACGCATCACATCAGATGCAGTCAACGACAGGGCCCCGACTGCAGAGGAAACGGTTGTAGATTTGCAAAGATTGGCTGCGTTAAACGCAAACAGCTCATTCATCTTGGTTGCCATGTCCACTGCATACCTGTTCACTACACAGTGGCAGCACATACAATCGCCTTCGCTGTTTATTCCCAGACCCAATTACACAGCACCCCCATCCCCACCCCCGCCCCACTCCACCCCTCAATTTTACCCAAACTTCCAGTTTCTTGCAAACCATTCCACACTCGTCACGTCAGCACCTACACCTCAAAGCCTTGATCATGTTTAAAGCATCTCCAACATCTCTCCTGCACTTCCACACCTCTCCAGACCGTTTCTTCAACGTGACGTGGAGCACAGAACGTCCCGCGCCTTCCACATCCTTTTCTGCGTGCTCACCAGCAAAACACTTCGACCATCTATCCGTCTTCACAATCCCATTGGAGGCGATGATTGTCCCACATCAATCCCAGTCCACAGGCCCCTGGCAATGATCACGTCACGCGACACCAAGCACCATGCACTTTTGCACAACAAGGCAAGGAGGTAGCCACCAGCTTCCTATTGTGCCCTAGCTGAGAAGTGTTCATGATTTTTTGACTGGGGTCTTGCTCGGCTGACGTCGACATGGCGAGGTCGGGCGAGGGTCATCAAAGCTTTCGACACACGGTGAGGCCATCGCCAATGGTTATGGTGGCCGTTGCCACACGCGTGTCCGCAAAGATCTTGTCGTTCAAGGCCCGAATGGCGCACGTGTCTGCGTCGTCTCTCTGCTCAACGCGGAAAGCACACTGCCATCAGAGCCCGGTAAACTCGTCCCAGCATCTCTTTTGCGGTGCACCCATTCTTGTGTGTTTTCCAAATGCAACATATTATGTGCGTTGAATGTACAAGTACAGGGAGATTGTGATCTCGCGTGCGCATGGAAAAGATACAAACATGGAAGCGGGATACTGTTTTCGAATCAGCACATGCAATGCACCAGTACCAGAAGCATCATGATTCCATACGCGTGCGGAAAGGAAATGAAGTAAGAATGAAAAGCCAAAACATGACGCAAACGGATGAAACGAATGAATGAAATGCGATACAATAAAATGGCAAACTTGGACGGTGTCCCTCGTTTCCTGCATCCTATCCCAAACACAGCAACGGTGGAAACAGCTGGTTGTCGGCACGCTTGCAGCACTTCTGTCTGTTTCGATGATTCGGCAGGAGGAGACACAGTACCACAGAAGAGCCTTTCCGGACATGAACAGCCCTGGCATCGCTCAAGCTAGGCGATTAAGTCGTAGCACCGCCAGCGCACTGCCATAGTTTCAACAATCGGAAACGGTGTCGGTTTCGGTGTCAAAGTGTCGGAGCCCAAACTAGACTGGAACTGACACTTGCAGCTCGCAAAGATAAGGGATCCCAATCATTGCATCATGCTACAAATCCATCAAGCAAGTGCTGCTCCCCTGTTACTTTCACGAGCCGTGTAACGGATAATGACGACAATTTGGGGAACGTTGACTCTTATCCTCGTAACTACACAACAGAGACTTGTATTGCGGGGGGCACGCACTGCGGGGTTGACGACGCTACCTCCCCAGAGCACGTTGTCGATGAGGATGAGGCCGCCGGGCCTCACCAGCTGCAGCAATAGCTCGTAGTACACGTCGTAGTTCGACTTGTCGGCATCTGCAAGCGAAGCCACACCCAATGTTGAAAAGGCGACAGAACGGTGGCAGTTAAGAGCACAGCGGAGCAACTTAATTAAGAGGAAGCCTGTTTAGTCAATGGACTTTAGTACTCTGGAACCATGACATGGCAACTGGGGATTCCGCACCATTAGGTGGTTGGCAGAACTGCCTCTTTTTGAACTGCTGTGGCTTGACAGTTCGCTTGATGCTGAGCGGCAAGCATCCAGAAGCAGGGCTACCAGACTGCATCTGAAGCACAACACGTTGGAAGCAAAGCAAACAGGCCCACAGGAAACCTTTGCCAAGTGCCAAGATGCGAATGCCACTGCAAGGTGGAACTGTTGGAGATCAGCCTTGGGAAGAACGGCAATCGCTGTGCGCTGGGCACCCCCCTCCCCACACAAGAATTGATGCGAGGCTCCGTCGCACACTTTGTAGACGATGCACACAACAGTGCAAATGACAGGAAAGCATACGCTGCCAGGGGCGATGTGCATAATGCAATATCATGGGGAAAATGGGCGCACCGATGAATGCCATGTCATAAGAATTTCCGCCCTCAGCTTCAAGAATCGCCTTCAGGCTTACTGCAGCATCTCCCAGGCGTTCATCCACCTGTTGCGATTGGAATACGGTGTGAGTTGCAAGTCAACAGCAAGGGTGATTGAACTGCAGTTCGGATATGCAAATAAGGTTTGAGAGCTGACTTTGCGCCTAAGAGTTTTGATTGGATTTCAAGTCTTGACACAGAAAACATTACACACACTGCAGTGGTACCAAACTTTGTACCAGAATACCAGTACCAGAGTACCAGAATCACCTTTGTACCACAAAGGCAATGGACAGTTTTGACACTATCAGGAGGCAGTGCGCCCCAAAATATTGTAACAGGTGGAGGGATAGTGGCTCAATATACGTTCGCAAAATCAGCAACTGCAGGATCGTGCTGCTGGGCTGCCCACCTTGTCCCTGACGCCTGCTTTTTCCCAAAACTTGCGGGCCACCTGCATCGTCGTCTCATCAACATCCAGAGCGACGAGCTTGCCATCTGGTGGGAGTGCCTGCAACACATGCTTGGATCAGCTGGGACAGCCTCAGGCTCAGTGTGTGCTGGAGTCCGCAATTCAGTTCAGCTTAACTGTATGTGGCAAACGAGCACAAGAGTGCCGATGTGCTGCACATTCCCCTCATCGCGCACAACTGGCAATTGTTGATGTTTCATTCGCAGATGAGCAAGTCACCATTCAGCAAGTCACCATGATTGTGGATGTTGGATACCGATGGAAAAGGAGCTTTGCCACATTGCCCCGTACTGTGCAGCACTGCTGCCATTTCTGGTCATCAACCCCACGCAACTGTCGTATCAACCATGTAACTGCACGTCCTCACAGTTACTCTATCTGGCATCAGCAGTTGGCACACTTGCCAATAGGCCTTGACGACAGGCCCATAGGCCCTATTTCCTTGAATGACAAGCGCCAAGCTGAAATCCAAGGATTTCACCTTGAGAAAACTCCATTTGTGCATGTTGGACGTGCTGGACCTATGATCTGGAATGTAATGTAATAGTTGGCAACAAAGGCAACCAGCATCGTCCAGAGGAGTGCAAGCAGATCCGATGCACTGCTGTGCAATATCATATGCCCACTCGTACCATTGCAACTGCTGTGGATGAGTATCCTGTGTACACTCCAACCTCGATGGCCTTCTTCACACCCAGCAGCCCAGCCAAAAAGCCCATAAGCTGTCCTTGGTCTGGGGCAATCTGCATGACGCTGCCACGCATCTTTGATGTGACTTCCCTCAACTCAGCAAGGACCTGCACCAAAAAATAGCTGCAGCTTTGCAAACCTTGCAACCCATGCTGGACTCACTTGGCTCCGCACTTGTCAAAGCCCGATGCATCACTGCACTTTCACCTGTTGGTTATGTCTTGTGAACACGTACCTGCGGCTCAAGTTCAGCTTGAGCTACAGCTGTCAATACAGGGTTTCACAATATTGTCCCTACAGGCATCCAGAAAGGACTGTTTTCCTGGTCTTGGAGGTGATCGTCATACTCAGAGATATCCGCAGTCTTTTTGAACGCATAAAAGAGTCTGATTTTACAGTTCCTGGCTTGGGAAGGAGATGAACATCGCATGACATTTCGCCTTTTTGTTCAAAAGACCGTCCTAATAGCTGCAAGGCAAGCGCTCCTTGTCCCTTTGAGGTATGCCAGTTATGTAGCTGGGTGTGGATGTATGTGATCATTTACCTGCAAGTGAATGTCTCTGGCTTTCAATTGTGCAGGGATCAAGTTCTATCAGGGATGAAGCACAGACCTGGAACCTGTGAAGTGACGCTGTTCTCCTCCATAAGCGTTTGTTCCGATTGTCCCAGAAATTGGCTCTTCCCACTCAACATCCCAAATGACCCGCAAGAAGATAGTAGCCTGATCTTGCAAACAAGCCTTGAAGGATGAACAGTACCATGCATATGTGCACCCAATAATGCAGCAAGTCACGCAGGTCCAGGCCAACAGGAGCATGTTAGCATGGTGCACATCCATGTCTGCCACACTCTTGTTGCCCAAGAGAACTTGGGCCACTCCTTGAAATCCATGGTTAGCAAAGCATGACGCAAGTGCCAACAGAACCCATTTTGCAGGCTCAAGTTTCGTTGTCCAATTGTTTCACTGTCTGAATTGAATTTTGGGCCAATGGAACGGGTCGAAAACGAAGGAAAATGGAGCTGCAAACTGCTGTAGTCCCTCCAATGTTGCGCAAATGAGCAGTGGCAGAGCCAGTTTCGTAGCTGTCAAAGGACAAACTGTGGATTCTGCTATGCCATGTAACACAGGCAAAACCTAATCTATGAAACTCGACAGCATTTGCCGTTCTGCTCTGCAAGCATGATGTGTTCTGATATGTAACCTGGCAACGCCTCGGACCAACCCTGACAATCTCTGCTGCTGATTTCCTGCTACCCTTTTTGGGGACATCATTCTGCCTGCAACGTCTTGCCATCCTGTGGTGTGGCAGAAAGACCTGCCTCTGTTTGTCACGGTTGGGGGTGGTCTGATCACTCAACACAGGGCCAACATATGGAACGAAGAGAAAAAACGCAACGACGTGAGCACGGCTTGAGATCTGCGAGCTGTAACCCCGCGTCTGGAATGATGCTCAACCAGCACAATGATATTGACCCCCATTCTGGATACCAGCAGAAACGGATACAACCCGCACCTAGCTGAAGGTCAGGGTTTGTGAAACTTTGAAAGCACTGCTTGGAACACCAATACTCTTCAGTGTTTTATTGGTGCTTCGTCGCCTGTCTGAGCCCTAGGGCGGTGGTCTTCACGCATTAGTAAACACAGTCAAATGGATTGCAAATGGTATGTGCCGGCGAAAGCAGCCGCTACTCAACGTCGACGACTTGGACTAGCGGCTGCTTTCGCCAGCACATACCCTTTGCAATCCAACTGGCTATCATGAAACACCAACATCGCAACCATTGTTTTCTTTTTCTTTTGCAGAGCAAGCCGGTGGATCGGGACAGAAGGCCCGCAGGCAGGGGCCACCCCCGCTGAAACAGATGAAGGACAGCAGGCTGCTGTTTCCACCCTCCCCCCCCGCACCCCACGCCATCGCGTGCCCTCGCAAAAGGGCCCGTGGTTCACCTCCGGCTCCCTGGTGTGCTTCAGCACATATCCGTACAGCTCCTCCGACATCTTCATCATCACGTTCCCCTTCAAGTTTCGCGCCATCTTCAACGAAATCTGCAACGCCAGTCCGGCAATCGCGGCGCGAGGCTGGCGCCCTGGGGAGGTGGAGCGAACGGCGTTCAAGGCGCCCTGTGCCAGTCGCCAGTCGCCACTGGCCGCTTGAGCCGAGAGTTCGCTAAGGAAACGAGCGAGTCAGGAGGCGAAACGACCCTCTTCCTTTTGCGGGCTGCGGCAACAACGGGAGCAAACGGCTGTCCAAGTGCGTGGCAGCTCCTGCTGCCCCACGTAAACCATCTCCAATCACCCGTTCCGTCGTTGTACAATGCGCCATGCACCGCACGAGAGCTTTGCTGTCTGACGGCGGTCTCCCCGCGAGGGATAGGTGGCCCAATCAGCCAATCAGGGACAGCCGGGCATCAGCCCGTACTGCACGCATGTACGGCGGCTTTCTCGCGTCTTTCCTTTTGTCCCCCAATGGGCGTCGTGTGATGGGCACCAGTGGACGTGCCGTGCCCACGCCTGTAGGATGGCGCGCCCACGCCTATGGGATGGCGTTCCCACGCGTATGGCATGGCGCGCCCACGCATATGGGATGGCGCGCCCACACATATGGGATGGCGTTCCCACACCACAAACCCGGGATTCCCATAGCTGCCGTCGCGCGTGCGTTGCTTCCAAGTGGCGTCTTGTGCGGCGTGCGGGCGCAGCCTTTGTGCCATGGCCAGGCCATCTTTATGTCATGGCTATTTGGCCGGAGTGTGATGCGACCGCCATCCTCGGTTCGCTATGGACCCATTTTTGCCACACTCCGCATCAATTAAGAAACCGCAGCGCCGACTGGCGGGCAACGCGCCGTGAACCCCCATTGTGGTGCCGTCCTATGGCCATCCTGGTGGGGTCGGCAAGGCATGCTTGGCGCGTCGCATACACTGTGGTTACAGAATCTTCGGCCGACGCGAGTCCGATGTCGGAGTCCGATGCCTCGGAGCAGGAGACAGACTTCGAGCGCTCGGAATGGGCGTGTAGCATCGACTCGGTGGATGTCGGGCAGTGATTCGGACCCCGATTGGGGTTGTGAGCTCGAGAGACGCGCCGTGTTTCGGTGGGATGGGCTGGTGCACCGGGAGCGGCTCCTGGCGTTGGCGACCGATGTGGCGGATGGTGGCCAGAATGGGCTGCCACTTTGGTGGTGTTTGGTTGCGTTCAAGGACCACGTCCTCGTGTTCCAGCCAACGCCTTACGCCTGGCGGGCTGGGATGGGTAGTGCGCGGAGGGCCATGGGCTCCCCCATCGTGTGTATAGCCGTAGACAAAGCTTCTTTTGCATTTAGAGTGCGTGGCTGTGCTCGGTCGTTCCCCCGCTCAGCGATTTTGGTTCCGTGTCGATGGCAGCTGTTATTTGGCTTGCGGGTTGGCTGCACGCCTCGTGCGTAGGAAGGCCCAGGGCCTTGTGTGGTGTGTTGGGTGGAGGACAAGACGCTTGCGCCTGTCCTGGATCGGCCTTGACAGCCTAGACATGCAACCACAACGGATAATTAGACCTTCGGCCATCTCCTTTGACGATCACACCTGCACCTGCATGCGCACGCACGCACGCACACGCACACACGCACAGACAAAACACACGCACCTGAGTTGCCCTCCAACGCAGCACACACACGCTTAGGCATTCAGTGGCCCTGCACACACGATCAGTCCTGGCCTTGCCAGGATGCGCACCTTGAAATATGGGCTGGCTGGGTCCAGCGCCATGGCCTATCCATCGCCTTTGTCGCTGCTGCTGGATCCGATGCTGGGTCCACCGCCACTGTCGCTGCTCGATGAAGGGGCCAGCACCGCCGCCAACGCAGCCCTCCTGGGCAACACCGGCGCTGCGGCAGGCGGAAGGGCTGGGTTCCGGTAAAGGCATCGCGTCGGCAGCCACATCTGTATGAGTACATGTACAGCTGTCGAAGTTTGAATTTGGCCTTATCGATGTATTTGTCATCTTCTGGGGCCTGGATAGTGTGCCCCTACGCCCCAGACGCTGGCGCTGCGGCGGTGCTCCGGCCTCGTTGCTTGCGCAGTGTTGCTGGCTCACCTGAGAGGAGCTAGTGTGGCGTTCCAGCACAAAGTCTCCTTTCCAAGCCAGATGCCGCTAAAACAAAAGCAAAGCCAGCAAACAGAATCCGACTCAAGCGGCCACTTTCCACCTCTCAGGCCGATCGTCCCCGTCCACCGCAAACGGCCACAGTGCTCAGCATATTCCCCGCGGCCCCCTGCCCGTCTGCTCTGGGCTCTGCCTCCGATGGCAGCGCCATCTCCGTCAGCCCTTCAGCAACAGCGAAGTCCGCGACAGCGGAATCGATGCCGCAGCGCCCCACTGCAGAATGCGAACCTGGCATCCGCCGCCACTGGACTTGACGCCAAGGCTACATCAGTTGCAAGGATCGGCGGGGCCGTGGGGTTCATCTCGAGTGGGTGAATCTCGTTGGATGGGAATCGATGGCTCGCGGGCAGCTGAAGGGGGGAGCGGGGGAAGAGGCGGCGTGGTCTTCGAGGGGGTTGATGGGTGATTCGATGGGTGTGCGAGTTGGAGCTCAAAGTGGAATGAACCCTGGGAGGAAAAGCACCGTGGAAGAAAAGGCTCGGACGGTGAAACGCGCGGAGAGGGGTTGGCAAAGTTTCTGGGAGGCAGAGCCGCACCGCAGTTCGCGGGTGGCTATGGTTGGAGACGCATCGAGGGAGACGCAATCCGGAGTGCGACGTCGGATGCCGTCGGGGCTGTATCGTGGGCGCTCCGACATCGGACTCCGAGAGAATTCTGTAACCACAGTGAGGTGTACTTCGCAAAACGCCACAATTGCGCTGGTACTCCACGAACATGGCGCGCCCACGCTTACGGCATGGCGCGCCCACGCATATGGGATGGCGTTCCCACGCCACAAACCCGGGATTCCCATAGCTGCCGTCACGTGTGCGTTGCTTCCAAGTGGCGTCTTGTGTGGCGTGCGGGCGCAGCCTTTGTGCCATGGCCAGGCCATCTTTATGTCATGGCTATTTGGCCGGAGTGTGATGCGACCGCCATCCTCGGTTCGCTATGGACCCATTTTTGCCACACTCCGCATCAATTAAAAAACCGCAGCGCCGACTGGCGGGCAACGGGCCGTCCCCCCGCCCCTACCCCCCGCCCTCCCATTCTGGTGCCATCCTGTGGCCATCCTGGTGGGGTCGGAAAGGCATGCTTGGCACGTCGCATAGTGTCAAGTGTGCCATGCCAATGCCAGACTTGTGCCGTGCCGGCGCCACGCTCAAACGAAAACGCCACCAACCCCAAACTTCACACGCCTGCCCAAATCAAACCCAAATCAAACCCCGATGGTCGGGTCCACTGTGCCGTGGAAGCGGGTCGTGCCTGTGCCGTCGGATAGACATCCTTGCAGCGTCGGCAAGCCATTTCTGTGCTGTCCGAAAGCCGTCCGTAATGTGTCGCAGCGTCACCCTTGTGGCATGCCGCCCCCGCTCTCAAGTACCACCCACCTGGGCCCCGGGCATATTTTTCCTGGACGCAGCCAACTTGGATGCGATGGTCGCATCGCGACTGGCTGCCTTGGCGCCTGCGGGATTCCCGGCGGGAATCCCGCAAGTACTTTACTCGCCAGTACTTTAGCACTTTAGGTGCTCAGTACTGTAGCTGTCGGAAGCGCGGGAATCCCGCACGGAATGGTGCAAAGTTTCCGTAAGGCCATGGACCATCCAGAAAGGGGCCACCGCAACATTTTCAAAAGGCCACAGTTGGCGGGTTCAGTTAGTTTAGTTAGCTTGGCTTAGTTAGGTTTGGTTTGTAGTTTAGTTTAGGCAAACAGTGTCAACGAGCATAGGCGGCACTTGGTCAGCGTCGGGCGGCCAAGGTCGGCGCGCGGGGGTGCGCGGACGATTCCGATGGAGCGCTGGCGGGAGGGCGCTTCGGGGCGGTATGAGTGCGCGGGCGCTCGCCGCCCTGTTCGCGGTCACGTGCATCACCATGGGCACAATATGCTTCACACGCGGGGGGTAGAAAGTTGAACTGGGCGTGAGCCGCCAGAATGTATTAGTGCCTCTGGCTTTTCCGCGTGGATGCCTTCTTCTTCCGCTGACGAGGCCAACGCCGGTCAGTGGGTCAATGGTTTAGGGCTTAGGTGTCCGCAAACAAGATGGGATCCACACGGAAAGACAGAGCGACTAATCTCATGCCGTGAGCCGCTGGTGCTTGCTTGGGGGCTGGGCCTGAGCAGTTTGTTGGCCGCGAGCCTGGGTGGCCAGATCCGCAAGGTTCGGCATTTGTTGCCTTGGGCGCCTGGCGGGGAAAGGGCGCCTGGCGGGGAAAGGGCGCCAGCCTGGCTGCTGGTGCGGTCTTGCTTTGTCACATCGCGGTGGCTCGCTGGAGGCTGGAGTGCTTCGTTGGCGTGTGCCCAGTCAGATTCTGTGTGCGTGTATTTTTGTTTCGCCCTCTGGGGAGGGAGACTGCCCTCGCCAGTCGCGCCCCGCCCACCTACTGCATCTGACGACAAGCAACGGGTCGATTTGTTCCTAAAACTGCTTGCGCAAGATGCCATGCGCACTGTGAACCTGTGCACACTGCCTGCAACTCGAATAAAGATACTCGAATCCTCCGCCTCCACCAAGGATTACTTGCCACTTGGGGTCGCAATCACCAGGCCTGAACTCAACCTGGGACAGTTCTTGTGCCAGTGTGGGGCTTTCGTGGCGCATTGGCCACCTACGCTTTGGACTTTATTGTGGCATTTGTGGTATGGCGTCGCCCACTGCCATGCTGATGCCAACTGTACCCCTTTGTCGAAATTGGCACAGCACCATCGTTAAACGTTCAAGGTCACAACAGGCACCAAACACAGTCCTGGATCGTTTGCCAGTGCCCACAGGCGAAAGGCAGCACTTTGCACAACACCCAGGGGTACAGAATTTGTGCTGCACGCATTTGCTTCATGCTTATGGCGAGTTCCAGAACAATAACTGGAAACTGCTGATTCCTCCAGTGGGCAACGTGCCCTATGCATAAGTGGAGTGTGCCCTGTTCATCAGCGAGTCAGGTCTGCAGCGATCACAGGGATTGCTGCTACTCCTGTGTCACTCGTTTCTTCCACAGAAACGCAGAAGAGTCTCACAAGAATCCTTGTTCAGCAGGTGGTTGCCATTGCATGTTTATTGTATATTGTTCTGCTGTGGTAAAGAGGGTCTTGATACTGTGATTGTGATTGCAGCGGGTCATCTTTATACAGGACGATTTTGCCGAAATGATATCCATTGGACAGGCTCTTGTTACCAGCTTTGTGCAAGGGCAAGAATCACCCCTCCCAAAATAGCAGTTTTGGGCTGATGTGGGTGGCCTAAACGCCACAAGCCATGTCCTTCCACACGCAGTGTGTCCCTATGCTTTGATCCCAGATCCCAGAATCAAATCTCAGATTTTCAGATCCCAGAATTGAATTGAGGTTGTGTACCATTCCAGAATCTGCATGAAGGTGTCATCAAAGATGAGAAATTGTATGCCATAAAGCTGGAGCACTTGGAAAGGGGCAACCTGAAAATGGGCAGTGGGGGTGTCTGACAGCGTGTCTCACCTTCCACAATCTATTGCAGCACAAGTCAGCAAGGTGAGATCGACAATGCGACTCTGTGTGTTTGCCAGAATGTGACGGCTGCTGTTGTGCTGGTCAGTGGTGATGGATGATGCCAAGGAATGCCTGGGGCAGTGATGGGCATGGTTTCATCCACTCTGTTCATTCCAGGAATTTTGTCACATTCGAACAGCTGCGGCCAAGGCTTTTTGTTTTCAATGCTGATTTATTAATTGAGGCCAGAGCAATTAGGACGTTGGTAATTTGCTTCAGGGTTCAGAGCACACAACTTACTTTGGCAGCTGGTGATCACTCACACAGCTAACACATTGAGATGGGAGCGTTGCCTGTTGTGGGCTGGGCTGCAGTATGCAAATACCTAGATGGAGAACACAGAAGCTGCTTAAAAGTCCACCATGGCACTGTTGTGCTGTCCACAGGGTGCTGATCATGAAAGGACCATCTGGCAACAGTTGCTACTTTGCTCTCGTTGGCATGTTGTTCCTATCAACCTTCAGGCATGCCTACGTCTTCTTTTGGAGTATGGAAAGTTTTCTCCACAAACCTGCCTCAGGAAGGAGGTGCATGCTGCATGACGCTGCATGAAATCCTTGCTCTCAACAGAACAATGTTGATGGGAGGCATTGCATTGGTTCCAAGCATCATTCTTGCATTTGAGGTGAACAATGCCCACTTTGTGTTCAATTTGATTGCCAAGGGAAGTGTTGTATCCCAGCCATGGCCAGAATTGTTTGTCAATGCTGTAATGTTGTTGACTTGCTCGCAGGCTTGGCAAAAATCCATGACTCTGCTTTTCCGCCAGCTTTTGGCTGTCTTTCAGTTGGGCTCAATGTTTGGAGGCCATTTTGTTTGCCTGTGTGGCGAATGCCAATGCTTGGATCCTGACACCCTTGGCAGTGAATCTGTGAGCTAACTTGTGCTTGCACCGTATCTTAACAACATAACTGGCTTGTGGTAGCAGATTCCTCCATGTGCTTCGAATGGGGAATGAATACCGATCTGTGAAAATTGTGCAGTTTGTGACGCACAGTGTCTTGGTGTTGGTGCGTTTTCATGCAGCTGTTATTGTCTGGCTGTTTGTAATGAACAGCAATGCATGTAGTCTCCTCCACATGTTTTTGTGGAGCATTTGTATTCAATTCCTCTAGAGACCATACTATACAGTATGACTTTTGCAAATGGCATGCAGTGGGTCCTGAAATGGTTTCAGTTGGGGACCAAATCTTTCTTATGTGGTGTGTTGGAGGCGTGTTGCATTCTCCCCTCAATTGGGCTGCCTTGTGCCCAGACTTGCACTGCTGTTTCATAGCCATCCCCATCATCCTTCTCTTCACAGCGTGATAGCTGGTGTGTTGGTGTTGCTGCTTTTGCTACTGCTGTACAAGCTGAGTAGACTGCTAATGGACAGTGGGAGTTCTGGCCCCAGATGGTTGTTAGCATTCTTACCCAAGAAATTGCACCACCTGATGTCCAGAGTTTCTTGTTATATGTGCAGGAGCGTGGAAGTTACTGTTCCTGTTGTACATCACCTGGAAGTGATCTCTGCCATACCAGCAGGGATTTGTCTTGCTAGGTTTGTCTGACCAAGGTGCAGATTATGGAATTTCGTGAAGGCACGCGGCCAAGGCGTCCAATCGGGGCAGATGATCGAACTCTGGTTTCCTAGCGCTTGTCGACATGGTGAGGCATCCCTTGCGCCCAGGGTTCCACCTGGAGGGCACGTTCTCTTCCCACACGTCGCCCGTGCGACAGGTAGTCTACCAGGCCAGCACACAGCGCTACGTGTCCCTCGATGACAAGTGCATCAAGGCTTGGAAACTTGACCCCACGACACCCTCCCGCACTCGGGAGGTCGTGACGCTGCATTTCCCCGCATTTCAACCCTCCTTCATCTCCTGCCTTGTCTACGTGGACCACCTCAAGATGTACTTTGCGGCCGCTCTGGACCACACCCTCAAGCTGTACACGGACAGCCTGAAGCTCAAGGCCAGCCTGGAGTGGAAGGGGGGTGCGGTGCTGTCCCTTCTGTATAACGAGGCGCAGGACGAACTCATAAGTGCTGGCTCTGATGGCGTGAAGATATGGTACTCGGAGAAATATTTCACGTCGGCGCAGGAGGAGAGGCGGGTGTTGAGTGGGTGCCGCCAGCGCCGTGCCAGAGTTTCGCCCGTCTGGTGCCTTGGACCACACCAGACGGTGTGTGAGAGGATGTGCCTTCGTGTGCCGGGGTGCACTAGGGGCGCGTTGGGCCAGGGCCTGGGGCCTGGGGGCCCTGGTGAGGGCGAGTGGTGCCACAGGATGGTTCTTCATAAAGAGAGCCAGACCCTGTTGGTCCTGTTCTTTGGGAATGTTTACGGATTCTCGATGGGCAATGGCACCAGGACTTTCAGCTGGGAGGCGTTGCATGCTCAGCCGATCACTGGTCTTGTCTACCTCCCGGACATATTCACGGCCTTCACGGCGTCTCAGGATGGAAAGGTTGTCAATTGGCGGATACTGGCAGATGGAACTGTTCAGCAGTTTGCAAGCCTGAGCGGCGTCGCCTCCCCTGTGAGCGGGCTGGCGTTGGGGCCGGACAGCAAGTCCCTGCTCACGTCCACTCTAGATGGGACAGTGACGCTGTGGGCTCTGGAGTCCAGGATGGTCATGTTTCGCATGAAGGTCCTGGCATCAGTTCACGGGCTGACTTTTCAGAGCGAAGACACCATTTACTTTCACGCTGGCAAGGAGGTCAGGGTTGTGCGCATCAAGCACCTGTTCTCGACTGCCAGGACCTGCAACTCTGCCCCTTTGGAGTTGCAGTCTGTTGGTGATGGGCTGGTCCTTGCCACCTTTGAGGACAGCAGTGTGCGCCTGGTGGATCTCAATTCTGACCACGATGCATTCGCGACGGTGCCCCAGCTCTCCACTCAGTCTGTGCTGGGCGCCCAGCTCTGGCAGCTACGCAATTTGCTGCTTGTGATGCTGGCGAACAGCCACCTGCATGTGTGGGAGGTTGACCCAGAACAGCCCCCCCGGCTGTGCAAGGTCTGGAGCCACTTAGCACGGGAGGGAGCATGCTGCTTCACGATTCTTGAGGAACGGTATGTACCGAGAGGCATGATGGCAACACTAACCTCTCGATGCGGCAGGTCGAGGCTGGGCAAAAACTTTGCAATCGTCGGGACAAGGGCCGGTGGGCTGCTGATCTGCAATTTGGACAGAGATTGCCAAGTGTTGTTGAGCATCAGCGCCTTTGACAAGGACACTGTTGTCACTGTGGCCACAGAATCGCAGAGCAGCCGTCTGGTTGTGTGTTCCAAGTTCACGGCAAAGACCTACCGGCTAAGTCACCTCCAGTGCATAGGTGAGGTGCGCTGCTCAGACGAAATTGTAAAAGTGACGGCCATGGCTGGACGGGCCCTGATCGGGGGCGCCCAGGGTAGCATAGTGCTCGTCGACTTGAACACCGGCAGGCACTTGCCCTCAGAGAGGGGTACCCATCACTCGACACGAATCACGGGAGCCGATCGGTGTGAGTACCTGCAACAGTTTGCCACCATGGGGGTGGACGGGAGTGTGCGGATCTCAGACAGGGAGGACCAGATGATTGGCACACTGTCCTTGGCAGTTTCCATTACCAGTGGCTGCTTTCTCAATAGTGCTGGTGACATCATTGTTGGCGCCGGCACCAGACTGCTCGTGTCCACTGCTGCACAGTACCAAGATCAGGCAGCAAGCTGCATGTCGTCCCCCAGCCGCTGCCATCCCAAAGCAGTGCCTGCAGCGGCTGGCCAAGGTGTCATCAGCCGGGAGCGCACGATGTCTGTGTCTGAACTCAATGTGGGACCTGTTGGATTCAATGTGCGGGTCATTGACAGTCCGCAGGCTCGCCTTGAACCCACCCTGTCCCCCAGGTACTTGAAGCGAAACTCGTTCCTGCATGGGGACTTGGGGTCCAAGAGGCAGGGGTCCCTAAGGAAGGAGGCAGTTCATGTAAAGAGGGTTGGGTCGATGTTTCAGGGACTTGGGTCGTACAAAGCCGAGGCGCTGGCGGTGCTCGTTGCCCAAGGGCCTGAAGGGATTTCTTCTGAGGACGTCACTCCTCGCATAGACTGCCCTGACTCGTGGATGAAATACTCGGTGCGTTTTCATGAGCAGACAGATAATGGCACGGGGGGGCAAGGCAGTGACCATGCTGGCCTGGTGAGTGGGAGGAATAGTGGGGCATTCCCACCTTCCGATGTGGACAGCGGAGAAGAAGCCGGATCTCCAGCTGGAACGCACTCTGAGAGCGGCAGCCATTCGCCTAGCGATTCAGAAGACCGTTTGGAAGATGATGTGGGGAAGATGTGTGCACTGCCTGGGCTAGAGAGCTCCTTTCAACACGCCTCAAGGATTGTTGCATCCAGGCAGGCGTTCATGCCGGGCGCGGAGTGGCAGCCCTCCATCCTGCGGATATTTGAAAGCACAGGCTCAGGCATCAAATCAAAGAAGAAGAAGAAGAAGAAAAGGCGGAAGAAGAAGACAAAGAAGGCAATGAAGGGAGGGCGGGCACAGTCTGCGGAGGAGCTCCGAAAGGGCACCCAGGAGAACAAGGTCATCATCGGGGTTCATGAACTGTCATCCCAGGAGGCAAGGACGAGGGTGGCTGCTCGCTGTTTTGTGCCGATCAGCAGCCATCTAGCTGACATCACACCCGTGGAGCCCACTGCATTCGAGCCCCGATGAGGCTGCGAATGGCAGACAGCAAATGTCGTTTGAACAAACTGTGCAAGTTATTTTGCTCCTGTTTGTTGTTGTTGGCCAGATTATTGCAGTATGGACGCCACATGCTGTATTGTCTTTGTCCCGTTCTCGTGGACGTCCGCTGAGTGACGGCGTCGTCTTACGCTGCCAATTTGTTGGCCCGCTGCTGTCGTTTCTGCTTGTTGGCCTGTCCCGCTGTTTTCTAGCGTCCCCACGACTCTTCAACCATGTCCTGTCTTGCTGCGCGAGTGAACACGCACAATAGGTGGTCAGTGTCACACAGCCGACCACACAGTGATGAGATGTTGTCAACGACTTTCGTGTGCCTTTGGATGGCATCATGACGTGCCCGACATGCCCTTCCCAACCCCAACCCCACCCCCACCCCCACCCACGCACCCACCCACCCGCTTTCGACCCTTACTTGCATTGCGTGCTCATCATTTCGCATAACAGTCTCTGTATCTTCTTATCACAGCATTCGTCAAGGTGAATCTGGACTATTTGGACATCGCAATGCAAGAACAATTTTGCTTCTGTCACCGCTGGCCAACTGGCGAGGAAACTCCTTTCCATGCACTGCCATCGACAAGCGCTTCTTGAAAATGCGAACAGGCGGATTTGGATCTTTGTTTGTTTCATACATTGATTTCAATGGACACTTCATGGCCACTGCCTCCCGCGGGCAAAATAGGAACCTGATGGCTGCCTCCCTGCCTTGCCATGCAAAATGAATGATGGTGGTGCTTGTCGATGACGATACGTTGAATAATGAATGATGCTGGTGACAAAACATTGAATGTCAACGCTCTCCCAGTCACTCTGGCCAATGCCCTAGACCTGCGCGCCTCAATCCCTCAGTCCGCCACCCTCCAGCCCCGGCGCACTCCTCGTCGCCGTCCCACCGCGTCCCCCCCTGCACCCAACACCCCCACTTTAGGGCCCCAAGGCCCGGCCCCATGAGCTGCCAGCCCCTGGAGCGGCGCTCAAAGGTGCGCGTCACCTTCGGCGCCAACAGGGCGCCGAACGGGCGGCGGCAGCCTCGCTGCGGAGACAGCCTGCCCAACTGGGTGGTGGCCGGCGGGGCCGCAAGGCACGGGAGGCGGCGGCTGGCGTGCGGGGGCCCAGAAAGGGGACCCGCGAGGAGGAGGTGGTCCCAGAGGCCCTCTGGGTGGAGCCTGACCCAAAGAGGCGGAGGTTTGACGGCCCCAGGTTCGGAAGCCTTTCCGAGAGGGGTGGGGTGTGTGGGGTGGGGGGGCTCAGTGCCGGTGGCAGTGGCCCTGTACGCGCTTGTGGGCGAATTTGCGACTCAAAGTGTCGTTTTCGGTGCAAATGGTGGCGGCGGTTTTGCTGCCAATTTGACCGAGGGGGTGACTTGGGAGTGCGCGGGGCAGCGCGCGTCGGGAATCGCAGGTTGATATGGGACATGTTTATGAGAGGGGGCGTTTCTGTGGGGTCGCCCACGGCGTCGGACAGTTGCAGGGGCAATGGGTGGCGCAGTAAGCGGCCCGGCGCTCTGAGCCGGCAGTGCCCCACTGACCCAGCCAGTCGTTCAATCAGCGACGCTGGCACAGGAAGGCTGGGGACTGATCTTCAGCCAGTTGGGAAATTCGGACGCTGCTGGTTCTTTCCACCATCCGAGTGCTATCCCTAATCAATCTCCTTAAGCATGCAAGCACATTTAAAACATTCCGTGCATAGCTTCTGGAGATCCTTTTCGTTTTTTGTTTCCGTTTTTTTTCTCATTTGGGTGGGGCAAAGGGGATCTTGTGTCTTCCTGGTTTGTGCTCCTCTTTGAGGGAGTTCAAGGGGTCTGGTGCTCCGAGACCTACGGCTTTGCGACCTGTTTCTTACGTTTATTGACTCAGTACAGTAAAATACTGACTCAGTGCAGTAAAGCATAGAGTATGTGCATTGACTCAATGCAGTAAATTCATTAGATCGCCACAGAAGCGATCGGCTGAGGCGGCCTCACCCCACGCGGCCAATCAGCACACCTTCTGGGCCTGGCGTGTCAGACGACGTACAACAAAGTCCTTGGTTTCGTTTTCGATTGCATGTGAAAAACTGGTTGCTTGTGCGCATGCGCACCTCCGCAGGGCGCCAATACCCGAGAGAGCCCAGGACAACATTATAAAGGTGAGGTTGGCGACGCCACTCAACACGTCTTCGCGCCCAGATCTGTCTCCGCGGATGTGCCACGTTCCCGCGCGTGCAAAAATTTTAACCTTCGACGCCCTGCAGGCGCATGGAGAGCTAACGGGAATACGAACTGCGCTAATGTTTCGCAATCAAATTCGATATCATGATGAATTAAGAGTCATTGAACAATCAGGTGAGTGTGCAGTGCAGTACGGAAAACCAGGACCAAATTTGCAAACAGCACAAGTTGGCGCTAAATTAATTGGTCTTGAACACTGTATATTACCGCTTTTCAGGTCGCATTTCACCGGCGATTGCAATCTGCAAAGCCACACAGTCGGGGCGGACTGACACTGTTTCATGTAGCATGTGTTCCTGCCGCGCCGCTGGAGGGGCGCAAAATGTGCAGTGATTACGGCTGTGGTTTCCAGTAGGTACTGCTCTTTCCGGTGGGTGACAATTTTTCGTTGTCCACTGATGCTCCAGTACAGGTACCACTGTGCGCATTATTGTTACCGAAAATAGCGCGCCCTGCGCTTCACTATTACACACTGCATTCCTTATACGTCGTGGCATACTTCGACGTATTACATATTTCGATGTATTGAACAACATCACACATACTGTATTGCTACTGTATGAACTGCGATTCCCCCTGCCACAGGTATCCGCAAGGAGCAACGTGAAGACGGTAGCCGGGATCGTAGCCCACGCGGCGCGTACGGGCAGCCCCCCGGTCGCCCTGGCCAAGGGGTCTAACTCAGTGAACCAAGGCGCCAGGGCGGTGGCCATCGCCAAAAAATACCTGGTCGCAGACGGCATGGACCTGTGCCTGCAGCCGGCGTTTCGTGAGGGGTGGGTGAATGGACTCCTTTGAAGAGGATAGCCTTGCTTAAATTTGAAGGAGGTGCATACGGCGACAGCGACGGCCCAGCGCGACTGGGAGTCAATGCGAGCATTGCAAGGAGGTTTGGGCCCGAAATTCGAGTGTCAAAAGTCGAAGTTCGATGTGGATGATCAGGGCGCCCGCATCGCTAGGAGTTTTGATATTCTGCCATCTCCGCCTGATGACGCCCCATCCCCCCCTCGGTGACAGATTTTTGTCGCCTTGGACAGAGGCACGGCTGAAACTTCTGCCGCCTAAACCACTGCCCCTACCACGCATTCCAATGCACAATCTCCTTCCAGCAACTCTTCCCCCAAGTCTCAACTCCCTTCAGAAAAACTGACGTGGCAAGAAGGCACCGTCACAATTGGGTTTTGCACAGCGACTGCCGTGACGGCAGTTACAAATTCACCATGACCCTCAAAGCACATGAGGCCCTGAGTCGACTTCCAATCATTTCAAGCCTTGGCTGCTGATCAAACACCACGTTTGCCGGAACGGGTGCTTGCTTCACTGTTCGACCGGCAGCTCACCCCCGCCAGAAAACATTCCTTCAAACGCTCACGCCAACTCGCACCCAATCGGCAGAGTTGACATGTCGGCAGAACATTTCTTCAGGAGAGTTGGCCAGGATACTCGCCACCGTATTCAGCAGAGTTGATGCGGCAGAACAGCGTCGGTGCGCAGAAGGGAATCGTACAATGGCGCATTTCCAGTCCGCCATTGCATCCGCAGAGTCGGTGGACTTGGAAATACCTTCTCACAAGATGCCCTTCCAAGGCGCCCCTTCCACAGCCTTCCGCAACGACTTGCCCATACCACACCGGTGTGGAGAGGGGTACCCCTCTCCACAGATGCGCAAAGATATTTGAATGCTGTGAAGCTTAGGATCCAGAAGGCCAGGTTGAGCGGCGATGATGTTTGGTGGCAGCCACAGCGACGCTCTCCCTCCCGCATCCAGAATTCTGAGCAAGGCGACATGTCCGAACAGGTAAATTTGCTCGAACATTGTGCCATTGGCCGCCTGGCGGCTGCAAGAACATTGGCTGTCAGATTTGGGCAAATGGAAGAGACAGGTTGCATCTCACACAATGTCAGTGCTATGCAGCAAAGGAGACAAACGTCTTGTTTGAAACGGCAAATTCGCCGCAGCTCTGGTGAGGAAAGGCTGCGGGACTCCAGGTTGTCCTTAGCACGCATGTTCAGCCTGACATCCATCATCTGACCAGCAATTACGTACTGCGCGGAAGCAGTTTACTCTTCACGGTCGTCGAAGGGCCGTGCCAATGCAACGTGTGCATGAGGACGGGCCATTCCCCTGACCACTTTGTAAGTGTCCAAAATCGTAATTCGATGGGCTGGGACACATAGAAGGCCCCAGTCGGCGTCGCTGGCACTCCACCTCAGGAATGCAGGCCCAGGAACAGGTTGGATGCCGAGGTGCGGATTGCTTCCGCAGATAAATCGGAGGCAGTTCAATGGGTAATTGAAATAGGTTGCAGCTGTCAAGATGCATCTAATCGCTACACCATTTCGTATTGCGCCTCGCCAAGGAAGCAACCTTACACCGCCTATCCGCTGGTTCTCATTTCACACGCTTATGGCTGTTCAATTTCGACAAAGTGGGGCCAGGTCGCAATCTCTTTGCCGTGTGCACTGGTGCCGTTTTTCCAACAGTTTCGAGTCTCTGGGAGAGAGAGCCAGCATTCAATATGAAACCACGAGGTGAATGAAAAGCTGAAGGCCAAAATCGGTTGTGTTTTGCAAGGTCGATTTAACATTGTCTGCGGCCAGCGTTCCCAATGCAGTGGCGGGAGCAATCGATGCCAAGGTAAGCTGCATCAGCGCCAATTTCGCACCTGCAGTTATGTGCACTAAATTGCATTTCAAACGCGCACCATCGGCGCTTCCGACAGCCAAATTCCATTTAAAATGTCTCTGGTGGTTGCATGGG